AACCTATAGAATCCTATAGGATCCGTATAGTGTCTTACAGGACTCCTGACCTATAGTATTCGGGGAAGATGTTTTGGGTTTGGAAACCCGGGCATTACGAAGGAAAGGGCGACTGGGGTCGATATTGGCGCAGCATTTAGGTGTAAATCAATTACAGATTAGGGGCTTTCCGATGGTATGGGCACATGCATTACTATTACCAGTCCTTCCCAGGTCCGCATACGTTATTGCCCAGGCCCACATATGTCGCTGGATTGCGCGTCCACTTCCTTCGGTATCATTCTTTTCTCGACCTAAAGAAAAAGAAGACAAAAACTGCAAGCATATCTCGTCACTAAAACTCCATTCGCATAAAGTCTACTTACCCTTGTACGTGGTTTTCAAAGGGAATATTGGCATATTTCTTGCCTGGGCACCATGATTCTATCTGGAAGATGGGGATGACAAATAAGGAAGTGTCGAAGTTTATTGATTGCTACAATGAGGCAAGGCGAGACATTTGGGGATGTGCAAAACTCTCTTGTGAGAGATGATTCCATGCGTAAGGGGAGGGCACTTTTGTGTCCTTTGAGTAATGCGAGAACCCAATGCCTCCATCTAGTGGCCAAGAGGAGAACTTCAAACGGAGCCCTATAGGCTTAAAGGGTTCCATATAGACCCTAAAGGGAACCCTATAGGTCCTACAGGGAACCCTATACGTTCTATAGGGAACCATATAGGTCCCAAACTGAACCCTATGGGGCCTATAGCAACCTATAGGATTCTTATATATTCCTAAAGAAATACTCCGTATATAAAAATCCTATAAGGCATTTTCGCAAGGGTAGACTTGAAATATCTTAAAGGATGACCTATAAAAAAATTATTGCATATCGGTTACTAAAAATCGGCGTTGCGCTCACTGACCGCATACGGTAGCAGGCACATCCAATCAGCCCTGCGACGTCTGCTAAGGTCAGCGTTTTCCTTCCTCTTCTCGTGAGTGCTGGGACGTCGAGTGGATGCTAGGTCGAGTTGGTGAGCGCAACGCAGATTTTTGGTAATCGAAATTCAAACAATTTTTTCGAGGTCATCCTTCAAGATATTTCAAGTCTGAAAAAAAAGCATTTTGTACCTGAATCTTTCTTCTTTCCATTACATGCAGCCAGGAAAAAAAATCCTCGAAAGCATCACGCCAAAAATGCGCGTTGAAAATAGTGCTCTTCTTTGGGCCACCGTGTATAATGATGAGCTGGACCTCTCGGGACTCAGTCCTTTTGCTTTCCTTTCCTTATTGGCAAGCCTATCCTCAAACCTATCCCTTCTTGACTCCTTCTTCCTTCAGAAGCACACGAACACATTCCCTTCCCTTCCATTCCGTGCAATATAATGGCTAGCTTCTCTTTTCTTTCCTGTCCTTTCCTTGCCTCGAGGCAAGATCTCCTCCCGCAAATTTGCCAGGTGGCGCTGCACGTGAGCATTCGTCGCCCTCCCCACCCCAAAATATGCTCTGATATTAAAACCCATGTCGGAGATTCTCCATGTGGGGTTAGAAGTTGAGGTTGAGAGGAAAACTTGATCACAATGAGACTCCTTTTTAGGAGTGTGAGATCAGGGCGCGAAATTTAAACCCTGTTATTTCTTTTAGGGTCGTGAATATACAATTTCATTATTTACCGAGTCACTTAACCACGAAGGAGAGGTCGTATGGAGGTGACAGTGGTCTCATATTCATTGTCATGATCGGATACCTTGGAAAAAATGCGTTAATTGACTAATTAAATTTAAAGTTAATTAGTTTTTTCCCGACGCTATTTCTTTAGTGTTTTCTCTTGGATCGGACTGCGCAGTCTAGTGCATCTAAACGACGCCCTTTACATCTGATTACTAATTGAATCTCTCCTACTGCTAATTGAAAATTTTCCCCGAGGGAAACACATTCAAAGTGGACCACACGTCGAAAGTTACATGTGATATGCCAATCGCAAGCTCTTGATAAGTAGATTACGCTGGTGCATATTTTCTATGCGAAAGATGAGAAAAGAAGTAGTAATTTTAATGGGAGGTCGTAGGAGAGGCAAGCACGAAATGGCGTGCGTGCGCACGTTCATCATAGGGTAGCCACGTTCAACAGAAGGCAAGAGTGCCCGTTTTCATTGGAACAGAAAACCTTATATGTAGTGATAGGCAGAATGGCGTCACGTCATGGGTTCGGTGGTGTAATGGTGGCGCACCTGGTCGGCAATCAGGAGTCCCGGTTTCTAGTCCCAGCCCGTCCCCTGTTCTTCCTCTCTTGCCTCAATCTTGCCTTCGGCGCTCATGATATATGCCCTGTGTTGCCCCAATGCAAAACCCAATCACCCAAATGCTCAACCCTCAAACTTCTTCTCTCAGTACTTTTGAGTTTTTGCTGTATAGCCTAACTAACTAACCTGAGAGAAAACAGGAAGAAGCCAGCTGAAGCGAGCCGCATGCCTTCTATATTTGGCCGAACGAACGAGAAAGTCAGCCTAATTTGGGGGATGATGGAGAAGTTAGATTAGAAAATGATCGTGGCCAAAGGCCGAGACCCTTTCCTAACCCAATTGACCCATCATTTCCCAAAGCAGTGTCACTTTCTCACTCTTTGGACTTTGACCGAACTGGAGGGAAAAAAAAATAGAGGTCTACTAACCGTCCCATCGTGATGAACGGCGTGTAATATTTGACAGGGGGGAAAGAGGGGAGCCGCGAGCACCCGAAGATGAGCGCGTGGTAAGGCGACGAGTTCCATCGTACCGTACCGCAAAGCGGGAGCACTTTAATCCGACTTTAAAAAACCTTTTTTTAACATGGAACACACCGAACACATTGTACAGGGGAAGCAGGGTTTTCGGCACGACTGCGAGCAGTCCGACCGGCTGAGGAGGAAACTGGAAAAGTCGGAGACGAAAGAACCTCGAAGAAGCGGGAGAACGAGAGTCCGCTTGGTCGGATTCCGACAATTAGCTTTTTCCTCGAAGCGGCCGAGAAGTACGAGCGGGAATTTTATCCGGGGGCGGGCGTATTCTTCCCTGCTGGATACGTACTCCAGGGAAAAAAAACAGATGCAGGTTTTTGAGGGCATGGAGAGAGCGGAACGAGACCGTTATGAGAACCATGTGACTCGAGATAAAGAATCATAAAAGCCGAGCGAGCGGAAATAGCCAAAACGATGCCCATTGCCTCTGTCCTTTTCAAAGTGTGGGATTCAATTTCACAAGCTAACTTCAGATAGGCATCCCCTATATTTTTTTTAAACTCGAAGCTGTTTTTTTTTTTTCTCGAACTGCTGGTGCTTGCTGCAGTCGATGCTCTGCAAACCTTTTCTTCGATATGGAGAACGGGCATTCATCTTATTGACTTATTTACTTCATCGTTTAACGCAAAATTGCACTTGTATTGACCGGTGCGTCCATGTGGCCTGTCTTTCTGGGGTTCATATGTTAATAATAAATCGATTTTTGAGCAAAGCAAAGGTAATCTTTTCGTATGAAGCAAATATGTATTCTCCAAAACTGAGCAAGGCCTTTCATCCCAATCGATTCGCTTAAACAAGAGGGCCTGAAATGTCGAGATTTGAACGCTTATTTGAACGAAAATAATAAATAATAATGAGACACCAGTAATGGCTCACTGTCCCCCGAAGAATGGGAAACCAACGAAGAGCTATGGATAGGCAGAGCAAGGCTAGTCGGTAAGGGGTGTACGTCGGAACATCGAAAGCAGAAACGCAGAAACGTAGTAATATCGAAGGGCAAAAATGTAGATGTAATAAAATGTCGCTCATGCTTAATATCGAATGGAATGGAGCCAGAATTCTAAAACATCGACGAAGAGGAAATTTCGAAACATGTCGAATGTCGAAAGATGTGATTTTTACAGGTGTGGGAGTGTGCAAGCATGACTTAGTTGAACGATGTGCTCCACGAAAGGGGCGATGAAGGGTCTGGTGGAGTGCTTCGAAATGTCTGCGGATGCAACTGGAAAGTCATGAGGTCACTTTCACCTTCTGGCTTCCCTGCTTTGTCTCTCTCACGAAGCCTTATCTAGCAACTTGGCGACGTCCTAGCAGGCAATTTAACTCTTTAAATGAGACTGTGGATCCATCGATGAAGCCATTCCATGGGCTTCTATGTAAGTGTCATGTGTCACGTGTGCATTCTTTCCATGTACATCATTTGGCTTCGGCACTCGATTCCCTCCTTCTCCGACCTTGGTGTGCAATGAACTCAAATGTGACACATATCGGATCTCAGAAAGGCAAGAAAATGCTAGTCCTTCACGGATATCTCTTTCGAAGAGGGAGAAGGCAGCGGGGAGAAATTTTACTAGAGATGTCAGGACCAGCTCTTTGAAAGCTCGTGCCATCACACAAGGGGGACAACTGATTAAGGAACCTTCCAGTCATCACGATCATGCTCTTCCCCATGCTCCCATCATCTGATGACTGCTAGTGCTTCACCTTGTGAGTGTGTTAAAAGTCCCTTTCGATATTAACTCGATCGATCTTTTCTCCTATCGACATAGATGTATTTCTACATGGCCTCCATCGACATTTGGGCCGCCGACTATTTTCTTGTCGACATGTATTCTTTCGACATTCAAAAGCGCACCGGTCGGAAAGGTATTCCTCGTGCATTTTCGAGGTGGGAGGAGGAATAATAATTAAAAAATCATAAATCTCTTCTGCATGCTTCCCTCGAGGCCATTTCCCATCCCTTTTCTACTTCCATCTTCACTTAGCGCCATCATCGCTTTCATTACAATGCCCGGCAGGTCTGAATCCCCCGCACTCCGTCAGCTCGTTCTATGCGCTGCATTCCCTTACTCATTGCTCCTGCCGTCATTGTCCTTGAGAGGCGCTGCGAGTCCGTGGCGAGGAGTGAGAGCGAGAATCCTCGTGGGTCTGGGCGATCTCGTCCCTCGCCGATCTTAGAAGAAAACATTTTCTTGACGGTTTTTAGTTTTTCAAAATTTCGCCGGTGTCCACTTTAGCAAAAATGAGTGAGATATTTAAGATATAATATTAATATAATATTAAATATAATATTAAATATAATATTAATATAATATTAAGATATAATATTTGAAGAATAACTTGATCCAAGTTTCCAGTTTTATTCTATTAAATACTTCACTCATATTTCGTCAGGGAAGTCAAAGTCTCCTAAGTTTCCTAAGAAAAATTATTAGGAACTTCTCTATACCTAGACAACAAATTATAGGATATGGAAAATGGGGTCATAAAAATGGGAAATGGGTGACTTAGAGTGAAGGATTTTGGTCGCCATTTATAATGTATTATTTTGGCTGAGATTTGGCATGTTATGTTTATAAGCACGTGACGTCATCCTCTATCGTAAATTCGACATTAAATGTCCGAGGATTTCCTCATTGAAATATATAAGTCACTCACAGTAATATTTCAGCACATGTGAATGCAAGATTACCAGACATGAAATAATGAATACTGTACTGCAGAGTGTGCTACTGCAGTTGCCAATTATTCATAATTATAATAAATTGCGTGCTTATTATTTTCCAGAAATATGTTCATGGTTTACCTTAAATTTTGGATATTGCAAATCTGATAATTTATTTGTATCGATTTTCAGTTATTTTATTGGTTGTTTCCAGCTTGGTTCTGATAAGTGTGATTTGGTGTTCAAAGTTGAGCTGGCTTGCTTGTTGAGTTAGAAGGCTTGGACACAAGGTTTAATTGTCTCTACTGTGGACACTAAAATGGTGGTTTTGTTCCATTGAATTCATACAGTTGCTTTTCTTGAAATATACTTAAACGTTCAGTTTCACATGTCAATCTCCATATCGCGGCACTTATGGCATGGTACACTAGCATAATATTTTAAATTGTCAGTGTATGTCTTTTGGCAGAATGAGTTGCTCTGGTATTTCCTTTTTCCTTAACCCTTTCTTTCTGGTTTTTTATGTTGGTACCGTAGTTCTTTATTGTAACATTTCAGCATCAATGAATTAAATTATTGCATCCTTTCAGTTATGTAATTGACATTAGTTGTAGTTCGGTGGCGGTCATTTAGTTTCTTGAAGGTGAAAAGTTTTCCCCATTACGAGAATGGTGGAGTCCATAGTTGTGACTGCATTGTTGTTGCTGTTGCTGCAACATGTAACAGCAGATTATGATGTGATTAAGGACTACATGGGTCGTGCATGCACCAGGAGGTGCTACAAACAAAAGAAGGGCAAGGAGGACTACGTTTGCTTTGTCAACGCAGACCATGACTGGGGTTACTGTTCGCCCCAACCAGGCAAAACTAGTAAGAACAAGGTATGCAAGAGGAACCACCAGTGCGAGAAGCATGGAGAAGATCACTACTGGTGCAAAACTGAGGGTGGGTCGTGGGATTACTGTAGCCCTCTATCAGAGAGGAGGTCTGGTTCCAGGTNTGAGGGTGGGTCGTGGGATTACTGTAGCCCTCTATCAGAGAGGAGGTCTGGTTCCAGGTGGGTTGACGCTGATGGGTTCTATTGCAAGGACAATTGCGACTACAGGGGGTCTACATACACCTGGTGCCACAGTGACAACAACCAAGGCTGGGGATTCTGCTCAAAGATACAGAATGTGGCAACCAATGGGAAAAAGTGCAAGGTAATGCCAATGACTCCATTTGCTATTTCTGCAAGAAAATGAGATATCCATCAAATTTCAATAAGTTCTTGTTAGGAAGCAGAAACATGAGTAATTCACATTTTGGAAATTAGCTAATGGGCCCAATACAAGATGTTGGAGTTGATGTATGTATTTTTTTAATAGCACAATTGACTCTAAGAAAGACATAACATTAAAAATGACTCTTGAATCTCGAAGTTCCAAGTGTTTGTAGACACTTTCTTATACTTGGAACACCCAAAAAAAGTTGCGACGCCACAGGCGTCGTAGTTGTCTTGTAAAGTTGTTATGATTACAAACCTGACTACTATTTGCAGTAGTACCACAACTCTGACAGTATACTTTTTCAAAGACAAAGTAAATTTTATAATAATTAAATTTTATGTTCCAGGATGACAGTCCTTGCAGAAAGGATGGCACCCACTACTACTTTTGCTACACCGAAGGAGGCGGATGGGATTACTGTGGAGATGTCGAGGATGGTAAGCCAAGAGAGTTCATGTTTTTTAGGACACAGTTTTTTGAAGAAATTAATTTTTGGGACAGAACGCTATTGTTTTGCAGTATGATATGGAAAGTAATATGAACTGTAGGGAAAAATTATGTACTTATTTTTTTTTAGGGGGCCCATGGCTCGTAGGTGTATTAAGCATTGTTTAGAAGATCGCACTTTTGAATCTGTATCTGAAAATATTGCGAACATTTTTTTAAGCATTTCATGACACAGGGGAAAATGTCCAAACAACATTATTTAGTAACTTTTTTTACTTTATTGTTGGAGATAGATTATTCATTTGGAAGCAGATAAAACAGTGTGCAAATATGAGAAATATTTAATATAAGTTTTTATTACTTATTTTAATTTTCTCCGAAAGTGGCACTTTAAAAAACATGTCGGACACCCACTGTTTTATTTATACTCAGTTTTCATGCATTTGAAATTTATAGCTGAAAGTATTAGTACTGGACCAGTGGACCTAAAAGATGTATTTGGCACAACCAAAGTGGTTGGGCTGGAGGAAAGCAACAAAGGTGCATTGGCTGGAGCATAGAGAAAACACTCTCAGAGTGACAATGCTGCTTCTCGGCAGCCCTGTCATCTGCGATAGATGCACGAATTGATGTTTGTTATGCATCTGGAGTGATGGATGAATATGTTGGATTATAGCTATGCAGCTGTTTTGAGGAATTAAAGTCCAAGCAGCACGCTTGATTGCAACCTGCCTGCGGAGCTTTATGGTGGGTGAAAGAATAATATTGTTTCTCCGAGAAAGCTGCAAAATTTTAAAGAATGTTTTATTTAAAAAAAAGCTAACCTCTGGATAATACCTTTTTCCCTCACCTAAGGGGGCTTATGAAATATTATATGTTTCGGTTGTGGGAACTACTGGTGTTATAGCACCACCAATAAATCTGTTATTCTCTATGGGTCAGAGATTACAGGGTGACTCAAAAGTCCTTGGACACGTTTAATCAAGTGTAGCATTCTCTGATGAAGACCAATTTAATTTCTGATTTGACCAGTGCAAAGATCACAATAAACTAAACCAACCATGTTTTCATGTTTAAAAAATATCACCATTTGAGGCAATAACCTGCTTCAGACGTTTTGGGAAATCATTAACGGTGCTTCACAACTGATCAATCGGCAATTCATTCCATTCCTTCAGCAGATCGAGCTTCAAGCTATGATACTCTTGTGTGGCTTGCAGCAGACCTTGGCCTGCAAGTAGGATCACACACTGTAATCCAATGGATTCAAATCAGGACTACTAGCAGGCCATTCTTCTGGGGAAATCAAGTCTGGAAAGTGAGTTCTGCAGAAGTTGATGGTGGATTTTGCTTTGTGAGCTGATGCTGAGTCCTGCTGGAATGTCCAAGGCTGGGATTTGAAATGTTCCTGAGTCTAGGAACATTTCTAGCACCTTCTTCAACGCACTCTTGATAGTAGCTGCCATTGATCTCGGCCTGAGGCTGCACAAAATGCAGGGGAGTTTTGCCAGAAGCACAAACACCACTCCACATCATCACACTACCTGGTTTTTGAACTCAATGGACATATCGCTGGTGAGACTTGAAAGAGGAAAGCTTTTTTCCCTAGAGGCGATTTTTTTGGGGGTTGTAAGCTTGCTCTACAGTGAAAATTTTTTTGTCAGGAAAAGACAATCCTTTGGAGTGAGGACTGGTTAAACCGTTCGAGCAACTGGCGGGACCTTTGAACTTGTTTCTTTTTGTTGATCTCTGTAAGCAGCTGCACCTTTTGTTTTTTAAAAGGGTTCATGCAGAGCTTTCCCCTGATATATCTTCGCAAGGTCTCTTTTTCCACTTTCAAGGTTTGTGCAAGCTTTCTTCCAGAATGCTCTGGATTTCGGTATAGCATTTGCCTGACTCGTTTCTGGAGCTTCTTATCCTGAAACACGGAAGGACGTCCACTTATTTGGCGATCTGCTGCTCATCCAAGCTCATTGTATCGCGGAATAATGCTGTAGATAGTAGATCGAGGGGTTTTGGTGAGCTTTGAGATCCTGCTTGCTGGAGGACCACTCTGGTTTTGAAAAATCTCTGCTTCTCTTTGATGTTTGGGAACCAAATCAAGAGCTTTCGACCTGAAACTTGGAAGGCAAATAGATCTGTAGCAGATGTTGCTTCACTCAAAAAATCACTTGGCTATCACTTGTCCAACAGTTTTTTCAATAGAGGTCCAAGGACTTTTGAGTCACCCTGTAGTTGTAGATAACCATGCAAGAGGATCTTTCACTAGTTTGTCTGCTGCTTCTGTAAGTGGTTGAAGGCACCTGTTGAAAGTGAAACATTCATTTAGTCACGTGTTCCTCTCATTTTCTTTTCCAGAAAAGCGCACTATTGACCCTCCCTGTGATTTCTCCAATCCATCATCAAGAGTGGATTGCGGTTGGTCAGGCATACTCCAAGCCCAATGTGAAAGTTTGGGCTGTTGCCATGATGCAACCTACAAGGATCACTATAACTGCTTCTACAAACATGTGGACTGTGCAAAGTTGATCTTCCATGCTGCTGATAATTGGTACACTCTGGAAACAAATGGTGACTCCAGGACAGGAGTGCAAGCTTGGAGATATTCAAATTTCACTCTAACTGACACCAATTATGACCTTAAGAAAGGAGCTGTCTCTGAATGCTCTGAGAAAGATTCAGTACTCAATAGAGATATCTACAACCAAGTGGTGCATAGGTTGACCGATCAGCAGGGCAACATGGCAGGCCAGATCAAAATCATCGAACCTAACGATGATGGCAATCCTATCCAGGCAGTCCACGTGCGACTGCTTGACCATGTAGGGGCAGATGGGCATGTTTCGCGCGTTGAAGCACTTCGGGCTGTAATACGACAAAGCCATGTCAACCTAAACAATCGCGCCGATTTTCCTTGGAATACCAAACAATACATGCTGGACAAGCTAAATGGTGAAGCCCAAGATGAAGTGTTCCGCCTTGTTGATAGCGAGCTGGGTGGACCACCGGAACTCTACAACATGATACCTGGGCACAACTCGGTCAACATTATTGTTAACCCGCCAAACAAATATCAAAGTAATGACTGGCGTTCAGTTGAAATTGCGATGCGGCGACACCTTGAGACACATCCCGATGGTCGAGTCGAGTGGATTGTCTTGCTATTTTATCCCAATGTTGCTAATTCTGGTCGACCCACGCATATACTTTACGTTGCTACACTGTTCAAAAGCAATGAGTCTCAGATTGGGGATAGTTTCATTTCCGGAATTTCCTTCAATGGTCACATTACACGCATTAAGGGCTATTCCAAGGATGACTCTGGAAACTATTAAGCATGGATGTCTCAATAATACCTGAATATGACACATCCCTACAAAATATATACATCTGTCTTGACTGATGTTGGTTGCATAGTTAGGGGCACCGCTGAAAATGTCTTTTGTCTTTGAAGATGCAACTGATGAAGCTGGTCCTCATGTTCTTGAACTTGTAAATTCAGATATACTGTACTCGTACCTGTAGTGGTTATATTGGGGATGGTGGTCTCTGAACCATTACTGGTGGAAGTTGATATAATTGTACTTTGAGCAGATGTTGTTGGTATTGTATTATATAATGAATGGTTTATTTTAAATGCCCATTTCTCAAAGCTGAATGAAGTTGTACTTTTGAACAATTGAGCTACTGAAAAATTGTTGATTCTGATATTGCTGATGTTGTAGTTGTTTCTTCAACTGGAGACACGTTGGGTATGTAAGTATTATGTTACGCATTGCACCAGATACCAGATTATTCGTGATAGTGCATTCAACGTACTATTGTAAATACTACGTTGAAACAAAACTAGGGAAAGGTCTTGACTTCTTTTATTGATTTGCCAAATGATCAAATTTTCTGTCTGCGAGTCGGCATTGGTGCCGCTGGTTTTGGGAATACCAGATGTGGACATGGATTTAAACAGTGCTGTTCCTCTGTAAAAGTGCTGCCTGGATGAAAAGTAACATACAATACCGGTACGACGGATGACGAAAATGGTGAGCTCTACGGTTGGGTACGGCAAATCTTGAAAAAGGAAAAGAATACCAACACTGTAGGGTAGTGTGAACAAAACATTTACGTAGTTAAAATAATGAACAGAAGCATTAGCCTGCAACATGTACATTATCGCTACCGAATTCTTTCTTATATGGTATGTATTTATATTCAGAGCTTACCCTTACAGAAAAATCCTATAGGATACTATAATATTCGTGGAATATGAAAGTCTTATCAGATTCCTATAGGATTCCTATATGAATCTTATAAGATTTTCATGTTTCAAAAATCATATAGGATCCTATAAGATTTTTACCTGAGGTAACTTGACGCATGTGCGCATTCAATCTTGATTTATTGCTCTTCTCCGATTCAGAGCGTCATTTATTGCTCCTGGGTGAATAGAACATAGCGAACGGGACTAAATTTGACAGTGGTACGAATTATAACTAGCCAATACTATTTATAATTATCTAATATAACATGTGTATTAACTTATATTTATTTTTTGTACAGGTATAAAAAGCATACTGTATAGTAGTGTGTGGCATTAGTACAGTTTCCATCTAAAGTCACATATATTATATGTATAGTCTATACGCTACAACTGTGGAGTACAAAGGGACACTGCCCGCCTTTAAATTGTCACTTTCTTTGATGCTGACTACAGATGACTAATTTTCGGCATTCGCAAAAAATGACACCCTACACCTCTAATAATGATTGAAATTCCTAACAATGTATTTCAAGTTAATGAATGAATGCAAAAATGAAGTTCATTTCAGCTATGATAACACAGTTTTTAAAGGTTATTGCATTCTCAGTCTTTGTTTTCTAGGCGCTGTATAATTCAGACACAAAAATCGCCCATTAAATAAACGATACTAGCGGCCTGTGGCCCCTGCGCTGGCCGTCAAATGGGCATACATTTTAAAAAATATTTATATGAAGATATGAAACAGTTCGTTTCAAACCCAATATTCAATACTTTCAAAATAACCTCAAGAAGTGCGAAAGTGTTGCCCAGATATTTTTAAACTCATCGCCAAAAAAAAACACCAAGAAGGAGTTGAGCGATCTTCATGAAATTTGGGGAAAATACTTGTATTATTGTGTCATGAAATTGATGCGAGTTTCAAGGTTGTACCTTGAAAATTAACAGAGAAAATTTGCAAACATCCTAATTCAAATGGGGTCTCAGGGGTTGTACTTTTCGTCCACATGAACATGTAGAAGTTTAGTAATCAAATGCGAAACAGGTACTTCTGCTGATGTTTAGTGCAACGGAGCAAATTTTCAAGGTCATCAGATTAAGCGATGTAGGGAAAACTTGCTGAGCTAGTTGAACGTCCCGAGGGATGGGGAAGAAGGCGACTGCATTGATCGGGCCAGTTTCATTTTCTGCTCCCCTCCATCCACTCCGCTTTGCTTCAATCGTTTATCTTTCGTCCTTAAAGCCATGCCATGACGACGTCAACGGCGAAAGTTCGGCCAAATTGATCTATTTGCTTGAGATTGGTTAGTTGGCATGGAGACAGGCATTAGCATGCATCAGGTCGCGCATCGGCTGAGTGTAAGTGTGACTACCGTGCAGCGTTGATGGACTCTGTATTAGAATGGGGCCAACCACGATCGGCAACGAGGATTAGGCTGCCCTCGCATCACGACGCTCATGGATGACTGATATTTGAGGATGCAGATTCTCCAAGACCGATTCGCTGCAACCCGTCTTCATGGACGGTACTGGTGACTGGCCATACGAAAAGGACTATGGGGTTCCCTATAGGGCCTATAGGGTTCCCTTTGAAGTTCTCCCCTTTGCCACTAGATGGAGGTACGGGGTTTTCGCATTTCTCACAGTTCACAAAAGTGCCCTCCCCTTACCCATAGAATCATCCCTTACGGAAATGTCCTATAGGAAACAAACAGTTATTTCTTATAGGAAACCTATAGACTATCTATAGGTTTTTGAAACACGAAAAACCTATAGGATCCTATAGGTTCCCTATAGGGTCTTATAGGTCTCCTGACCTATAGGATTCGGGGAGGATTTTTTGGGTTTCGAAACCCAGGAATTACGACAGAAAAGGCAAGCAGGGTTAATACTGGCGCAGAATTTTGGTGCAAATCAATTACCGAGTAGGGTTTTCCCATGGTAGGGACACTTGCATTATAAATACCAGTACTGCCCAAGTTTGTTTAATTTATGGCCCCCGTTCACAAATGTCGCTGGATAGCGCATCCACTTCCTTCGGTAGAGAAAAGTATTATTCTTCTCTCGACCTAAGGAAACAGAAGACGGAACCTGCGAGCACGTCTCTTTACTGAAACTCCATACTGATTAACTCTACTCATTCTCGTACGTGGTTTTCAAAGGGAATAAGGGCATATTTTTTGCCTGGACTCCCTGATTCTACCTGGAAGATGGGGATGACAAATAAGGAAGTGTCGAAGTTCATTGATTGCTACAATAAGGCAAGGCGAGACATTTGGGGATACATACTATGTACATACATTTTCTAGCCTGCTTTCCCAATTTAATGGAGTTGCGGTTCGAGCATTCCCAGGATGCGTCCTCCAGTGATCTCGATCCTGCGCAACTCAAATTCAGCTGTTGGGATACCGAGCCTCTCGGGACAAAGCCGAGCGACGCAATCACTCCACCTTACACGCGGTGGTATCCACGATCTGGTGCTTTCGGTTATTACCCAAAATTCATGACCATAGGTGAGAGTGGGGAGATAAACACTCTTAAAAACCGAGAGTTTTGCTTCCCGAGAGACTTCCGATCTGGCAACCATGGTTCGCATAAAAGTTCCCTCAGAACTGCAGAAGCCCTGAAGTTGCGGTTGTCGATCTCGTTTCCATGTCTTCCATCACTCAAGAACCAGACCCCGAGGTACTTGAACTTCTCCACCTGTTCCAGTGGGACCACACTGACATGCAGGGTGCACCGAGCAGGATTTCTCGAGAGGACCATGACCTGTGTCTAGGAGACGCTCAGTTTCATTTCGACCGCAGTGCATTCGGAGTCGAACCGATCGAGCACTCTCTGGAGCTCCTGTCGAGAGCGGGTCAAAAGAACGGCATCGTCGGCGACGAGAAGTATCCTTATCGTGACGTCACCGATGTTGACCCCCTCCAGGCCGAGGCAGCACCTACAGATCCTGTCCATATACAGGAGGAACAGGAAATGTGAGACGACACAACCCTGCCGGAGTCCAGCGCGTATCAGGAAACGATCCGAACTCCTCCTACTCACTCAGACGCAGCTTCTGCAATCGATGTATAGGGACTGAACGGCCCGCAATAGCTGACCCTTGATCCCATATTCCTGCAGCACTCCCCACAATTTTCATCGGAGTATACGGTTGTAAACTTTTCAAGGTCCACAAAGCACATGTAGACATCTTTGGCATACGCCCAATATCTCTCGAGGATCTGGTGGAGAGTGAACAGCTGGTTCGTGCCCTTACGGAATTTTCCTATAGGAAACCTATACTTATGTCTTATAGGAAACTCATAGACTTTCCTAGAGGTTATTGAAACACGAACAACCTATAGGATTCGGGGAGGATTTCTTGAGTTTCGAAACCCAGGCATTACGACGGAAAAGGCGACCGGGGTTAATATTGGCGCAGCATTTCCGTGTAAATCAAAAACCGATTAGGGGTTTTCCCATGGTACAGAGACATGCATTATTAATACCAGTACTTTGGGGGGCTGCATAATTTATGGCCCCGTCCCACATATGTCGCTAGATTGTACGTCTACTTCGCTCGGTAGAGAGATGTAGTATTCTTCTCTCGACCTAAGAAAATAGAAGACGGCACCTGCGAACACGTCTCTTTACTGAAATTCCATTTGGAGAAGGTCCACTCAGTTTCGTACTTGGTTTTCAAAAGGAATTAGGGCATATTTCTTCACGGGACTCAATGATTCTATCTGGAAGATGGGGATGACAAATAAGGAACTGTCGAAGTAAACTGAACTCTATGGGGCATATAGGAACCTATAGGATTCCTTTAAGTTATTATAATACATTTTCGTAAGGGACTCCTTTCGAATGTAGTCCGTCTTTTTTAATAAAGAATAGGAGCTAATGGGGGGACTGGTCCCTCTCCCTAATGGTGGGCACATCAAGGGTCCCACCAGTCCTGGTGAAACCCTCCTGCGAGCGGGCTGGCAGGTGGAAGACCCCTCGAAGCTGATTTAGACAATGGGAAAGTCCCCATTGTACCGGTCGGAGATCGTGGTTTCTCCCGTCTGCTATACAGATTACTCATTAGTTAGGACAGTTACAAAATCAGCCTAGAAAAAGATGAGACCTATTCGTTTAACTTTTAAATTATGAAACCACGTTGGGGCTATTTTATATCCACTTTTAAAGATAATTCATTCCTCTCTATTTTTAATGATTTCATTTATATAAGTTTTAGTACCTATCAGGTTCCCCGTGAGCTAGTTGGGATTGACAGGTGCCAGCTGTTAAGAAAAACATTATCAGGCTCCCTGATTGTCCCGACAGATAGAGAGGATAGCTGCTTAATAAGGCAGACTACCTAATGGGAGAGATCCTAGATTTACGCTGAGCTGCATTAATTTGTGGGGGATGGAAGCGATTAGTACAGTTGTGGCTGCATAGATGTAAGAAGGTGTGGATAAGATCAAAGTCCCCTTTATGGGATACCTAGAGGGCTTGATGAGTTGAAGAGTGAGGGATTGGAAATGGCCTAAAAAGGCGGCCAGGGGAACAAAGAAATGGTTGAAGGATAGGTGAGGCTTGGGGGGAGCATGACTGAGTAGTTGAGTCATTTGGGAGATCATCGAGTGTGTTAGCGATATCAATCTTCCCAACTGGTGATTCAAACGCGTATGCTGAAGATGAGATATTAGCTCTGAACGCTCGTCGTCGTTCTTTCTGCTTTATGTCGTATGTTGTCAGGTATTCGTGTACGTTTTCAGGGCAAGTGTCCTTCTCATAGAAGGAGAGAGCTGATCTGAGGCGTACACGTCAAGAGGTGTAAGGCCATTGACCCTATAGATGTAATCAGAGGGGTAGTGGCTTGGGATTCTGTAAGCGAACTTAATCGCAGCTCGTTCGATGCGTGCAAGTGTGTCCTAGGTGGAGTCGGAGACATTGACCCCGGCTGCAAATCCATGCGTTAAAACAGGACGGATGTAAGCTTTATTCAGGCGCATGATGACGTTGGGTTCGCAACCGTTGGCACGCGAGAGCAACTTCAGACAATTCTATTTACGAATTGCCTTTTGACGTACCATCTGCACGTGGGGGGACCAGCGGAGGTGTTTGCGGAAAGTGATACCAAGAAATTTGCAGGTGGAAGCAGAGGGGATGAGATCCCCATTCATCCAAAAGCCTAAAGTTGTAGGGGTTTCGAAATAGGCTTCTAGGCACGTAAAGGTATGAGGATTTGGAAGGATTCATGGAAATCCTCAAATCCTTTCAGTAGGACGAAAGAGTGTCGAAGACAAGTTGGGCGTCCTTTTCTAGCTTGACATCATTTCTTCTCGTTTGCCATATGGCTGTATCATCTGCATATTGGCTAACATATGCATATAATGGTATGTGTCGAGGTAAGTCATTGACATATGCAAGAAAAAGCAGCGGTGCCAAGACTCATCCTTGTGGTACTCCAGCTGTAGCGGTGAAAGAATTAGACAGATGGTTGTTGACTCGAATCTAGAATGTGCGACCTGTAAGATAGGATCGTATCCACCTGAGGACTGGAGCCAAGAGAAAGAGTTGATGGTGGAGCTTGTAGAGCAGGCTCTGATGCCAAGCCTTGTCGAACGCCTTGGACGTCGAAAAAGAGGGCTAGGAAATGCATTCCTTTGTGTGTGGTATGTAAC